TTTTATCATGAAATGATTCTAATCTTAATATGTTAGATTGTGTTTCAAAATTACATAATCTATCAAATATAATTTTTTAAATTAATTTTTATAAAGTAATATATTTTTATGAATTTTTTTTTTTAGTAAAGTAATAATGGAGATGCCTCCATAATTATGGAGGCTCATACTTGAGCCTCCATAACATATTATATTATAAAATTAATAAAAATTTAATTAGTTTTTATTTTATAATTGTATTTTCGAATTTTTTTAAAAAAAAAGTGGCTATGAAATTGCTAATTCTTAAATGTGTTTTTTTGTTGAAAAAAATAAAAATAATTTTTTTATGTTATTTGTCAAAAAAATTTATTGTAATTTTATTAGCGTAATAAGAAGATTTATTATACATTTTTATTTTTGCATTCTGTGAAAATTTTTGTTTATGGTGATTGACAAATATTCTTCCACACACGTATCATGCCAACAACATTTAAAAATAATAATTTAAGTATCTATTAAAAAATAAAAAAAATATTACGGAGGCAAGACCTCCATATTATGGAGGCTTCATGGAGATAAAGCCTCCATAATATGGAGGCTCAAGCATGAGCCTCCATAATTAGGGAGGCGTCAACATGCATTTTTTTTTACTATCTGTTTTTTTCATTGGCTCTCAGTACAATAATTTAATTTAATTTCATTTAATCAACTTAATTTTTTTAATATTCTTAAAATAAAAATACATAAAATAATGGAGGCTTACTCTTTCTTCATTTTTACACGCTACAACCATGCTTTTCTATTTCTTCACACTATATTTTTCACCATTTTCTCACGCTATCAACCATGTATCTTTAAAAAGTTTATTTTTAAACACATAAGTAAGTTTAAATTAAAAACATTATTTTTATATATGCACGTAAAAGGTATATAATAATCATTTAGATGACCAAAAAATAATATCAATCAAAATATTTACGAACCATTTAAATAATAATTTATTGAGCAAAAGTGCGAATTCTATAAATATATGATTGAAAATATGTTTGAAGAAAAATAAATTTTAAAAAATGAAGACCAAGCATGTTAACAAATGAATATATTTATTTTTCGAAAAATGAGTTTTTATTACCATTTCATTTTTATCATGAAATAATTCTAATCTTAATATGTTAGATTGTGCTTCAAAATTACATAATCTATCAAATATAATTTTTATAAAATAATATATTTTTACGATTTTTTTTAGTAAAGTAAACGGAGGCTCGTGTTGAGACCTCCAAAATTATAAAAATATATGCAATTATATTTTTCTAATCTATGTGAAAATGGAAGTAAGACTATCTTCATGGGACGGATGTGCTATATAATTATTTCTAATGGTACATTAGTATTTAGCATCTTAGACTAATATATATTAGTTTCTTTAATGTTATACATAGCGTGATTAGCACAAAACGTTCCTACCTTTCATGTTTATTATGGAAAACATTTCTATCTTTCATTTTTTGACATTTTTGTCCTAACCTTTCATCTTTTTTTGTGCTGAACGTCATTTTCACCAATTTTTAACATAAAATGACCAATATACTCTCCTATTTAAATAAAACAAAAAAAGAAAAGAAAAATAAATAATAAATTGCAACTTTAGTCCCAAACTTTTTAAAAAGTGAAGATAACCTATCAAAATAACTTCACCTTCTTCCCATACGTCACTCCTATCCTACCGTCGCCTGTCGGCCAATTTCAACCACCTTTCGACCACGAAAATCATTGGATATTGACATCAACGAAGCCTTTAACCTCCTCCATAATTACCACCCAACAACTCCCCATAATTTGAGCAGAGACATTAGAAGAAGCAAGAATTGGAGTTGAAAAATTTCCGTCACGCAACCGGACCTTATTAGAGTTGAATTCAGGGTTTTAAATTGGCTTAATTTTTTGTTGACCCATGGATTTTCCATCACCAATTGAGATTCTAATTACTGAATTGAACATTTGGAGTACCATAGATTCTTCAAATTCCTTGGCCCCGAATTTTTTGCATAAGGTCTGAAGTTCATCCACGAATTCAACTTGTTGTGGATGAAATTGGCCTTGACATATGGTTGGACAAGGTGAATCAGAGGGAGACGAGGTTAGCCCATGTGGTTCGAGACCATGTTTTGACCGGAAGGAGTTGGAATCCACAATATTCGACTGGTGAAGCGGGTTCGAGAGTGGCGATACTTCTGGAATAAATTCAGATTGCTGGAGTGACGTTTGGGTAAATTAAGGCCATGATTATAATCAACAGGGTGTGGGAAGTCGTTCAGTGGGGGTTTGCGATTTAGATGGTGGCCGGAGGATGAGTTTCTGGCAGTTTTCAAATTTTCTAGTGGTTGACTTTGAGAGTTGATTTCGACAAGATTAGTTGGTGTTATGGAGAGTTGTTAGGTGGATGAGGTTAAGAGCTTTTCGTTGATATCAATATTTAGTGGTTTTGGTGGCCGAAAGATGGCTAAAAATGGCCGACAGGCGACGATGGGGTGGGGGTGAGGTGTGGGAAGAAGATGAAGTTATTTTGGTGGGTTATTTGCACTTTTTAAAAAGTCTGGGCCTAAAGTTGCAATTTTTTCGTTATTTTTTTTAATTTTATTTAAATAAGAGGGTATATGGGTTATTTTATGTTAAAATTTGTGAAAATGACGTCAGCGCAAAGAAATGTGAAAGTTAGGGGCGAAAATACCAAAAAATGAAAGGTAGAGACGTTTTCCACAATAAACTTGAAATATAGGAACGTTTTGTGTCAATTATCCTTGTACATATTATAAATACCACCCTAACAAACACTTATGGGTACTTATTGCCTATTGAACTATCGAGAGTTCGAAGATTTTATTTAATTTATTTTTTTACAAGGTAAGTTACAATTATTAGTTATAAAAAATCACCATAAAACAAATGTGAGAATTTACCTTCCAAGAAATTAAAAACAAAAGATTTATATTCCACAATATACGACAAAATATAGTGTTGCAACTTGCACAAGTGGTGCAATCTAAAGAGGTGGCAAATCATTGTTTTCCCTTGGAGTTTCCTCGTGTCAAAATATTGGCTTTGTACATTTCATCGACTTTGATAGATCATAGGTACTCCAATAAAAGGAAAGCACCATGAAGGGTGTTCCATCGCCCTTAGTGTTTGACTAGGATCGTCTTCACGTACCATTAAATCAGTAAGGCAAACTCTTAGAACTTGAACTAATTACCAAAGACTTAAGCTTAGAAGAATCCCCTTCGCCAGTGGCACGACGAGTGATTGTTTCCATATTTTTATATAGGCTTTGTTTCACAATTTTCTTCATTAATTTCTTCCCTTCATCAATCTCCTTTGGATTTACTGGGGATCCCTGGGATATTCTCCCATCCTGTGGCCCTGAATGAGGCCCCATTTTCATTTGTCTTTCACTTTTAAACCATTGCAATATTTTTAATGCTCTTTTCTGAGTCAAGGGAGTACCCAATAAGGCCACTTCAAGGAGGACAGGCACAATTCCAGCCTTGGTCATTTTCTGCCTTTGGAGTGAGCTTCTATGGGCTAAAATCATCAATACATAAGCAGATAATTCTTGGCATTTCGGCCTCTCGTCCCATGTCATAATCTCGATTAATCCTTCGGGTACCATTGGATCACTTTCTAGCGCCTTCTCTCCTGTTAAGGTTATAGACAAGTTTCCCAAGACTGCAAGGGCTTTTTCTGATGCTTCTTTAAGTGTAGACAGCCTCAAGAGAATGTTGACCATCCCACTTGTAGCCAAAGTTGTAGCATTGTCTAGGACTGAGGAAAGATTGTACAATGTTGTCAAACATGTATCTTTTGTCTGAATAGTACTTGAACTTGAATCCAAAATGTGAATTATAAAGGGGATAACTCTTGATGAGGACAGAGAGAAATTGCTGTTGGCCAAGGCTGCAGATATAGACAAGAGGAGCTGTGAAAATTCTTGCATAGCCGGTTCACCTAAGACATCCTCATTTTCAGGTAATTTTGATAAGATTCCTGCCTCCACCATCAGAGCCTTGTTCCTGCAAGAATAACATAGGAAACAAGAATGCCATTACAATAAGAATTAATTTTAGGCAACATATTCTGAACACTAATTATTCTAATAGAATTGAAAAATGGGGTGGGACATTAAACAAGATATTCATATGTGGGGTTGCAAGAAGAGGGACCAAATGCACACCAAGAAAAAAAATCATTATGTAGAAGTCAACAAGATTCTCTTTGGATTAGATCATTTGCATTTGAAAATCAAGGATTGTAATTTTATATTGTAGACAGGTAACCCATTTTCGAACAACTATATGACCAAATCTCAAGGGCCTATAATTTATGTCCCTACAAAACAAGTTGTCTGCAGAATTAGAAACTATGCCACTCAATAATTCCAGCACTACAATTTGAATTCGAAAGTTTCGTAAATATTGAATTTAGAAAAAAACTGTCTATTACAATATCAACATCTCATCTAAAACTTTTAACGATTCAGTTGGCAAACACTTTGAAATCTAAAATCTTCATGGACAAGACGGGACCGGAAGAGCCGGGAGTGGTTGACCACTTCACCAATCTTGTGGAGTGGACGACTAAGCCCAAAAAGTCCAAATTCTGGTATGCTAAAGATTGAGAATGATGTAAGTTCAACTACTTTGATCTTCACTCAGAATATATTTATATTTTTGGGTGGACTATCAAGAGTATGGATGCATAATTTATTAAATAGCATGATCTTGGGGCAAATGACCAACTTCAAGTTCCCAGCCGCCCACTTCCACCCCACCCCACCCCACATGCATTCTTGCAAGTCCATAATGGCCACTGGACCTCAATTATGGATGATGGCTTTTGTGCAGTTATTTCAAGTTCCAATACAATTTTGCCACGTCATTATGTGTACTAAAATCCCACTAGTTTTCGGCTCCATTGGTTTGAAATTGATTAAATCCTTGAATTTCTGGGTATGTAACTAATAGATCAGTACCCAGTTTCTTAGTTACACAAGAAATAATCTTGAAACCATCTATCCCCCTCGCAACTATATATCTAACCAAATTAAGAAAGGTGGGACACTGCGAGGTGAATGGTTTACATGGATCGACCAGATAGAAAATAGGATAATGTCATCTAATATCAATTGTTTTCGGGTACCCGTCTAAGTGTCATAACGTGATGGGTTCAATTAAAGGTGGAGTTATGTACCTCATATGATCGTGTCTATCATTTAATGCAACTTACGTGTTACTTAGACCGGTGGTACTCAAAGCATTAAATATGAAAGATTTTGTAATACTCTATTTTTGATAATATGAATGAATTATAAAATTGAATCAAAAAAGAGTAAATAAGGCTTATATATAAATTATAATTAGATAAAAGATGTAAAACATAAAAATTAAAGGGTGTCTAACATTCTGTTTTAATGTAAATCAACTTACGTGAAAGAGCCGTAAGCAAGCTCAATTAACGTTTGAACAGCTAATCTTTGACGCGCCACCACTTGTGAACCAAACATGGCCACCAGCGGCGGTATAACACCGAGTTCCGCCATGGTTTTCCTCCACTTCAAGTCCTCTTTCGCCAGTCTTTTTATATCTTCCGCCGCCACCTCCTTCTCTTCCCAGCTTCCAAAGTGTAGCCTCTTCACAGACCTTTGCAAAATCACCACCCAATCACTCTTTCCCTTCATATTTGCCTCTGTATGTATATCTGTATCTACAGGCTTCTCGACTATTTCTGGCGGTTTGTATTGCTTCTTGGCGGCCTTGAGGTGGAGGAGCCGCCGCATGCGACTGAAGAACCTTAGCTTTGTATAGGTAAAGAACCAAGTAGTTAAAGAATCTGACCTTTTTGGTGCTTGTGGAACAGACATATTGGAAGAATTGAAGAGGGGCCGGTTGAAAGTTGAAAATTTCGTGGCCTTTTTCTTTAATCAAATTTGTCTATTTATGTTCGACTTTTAGTGAGATAGAGTGCAGAATCGGACAAGAAGAAGTAGACTTTGTGGAAAAAAACAAAGAGAGCAGAAGAGCACATGCAGACTAAAGAATCTGTCTGTTACATGGGATGAAATTCTTTTCTGGTACATATATATGATTTTTACATATTTATTTGATATTTGAGCATTTATATTTGCCCTTTGTTCGTATAATTAGGGGTGGACAAAATGTTTAGATCAGATCAAGCCAAACCATATCAGAACCAAAATCGAGCGGTTCGGTTCAATTCTATCAAAAAAATTAATGATTTTGAATCTTTGAACCGAGAACCATTTGGTTTGGTTTAGGTTCAGTTCTAGTTCAAAGACAAGAACAAGAACCAAACTTAGTATTTAACTTTATAAATAATAACTAGTCACTGTCACGTACGTTGCACTAATTTTGTATTTATCATATTTTTATTAGCGTATGAATTTTAATTTTTTAAAAAGTTTTTGAAGTAATATCTAAAAATATTTCCATGATATAAGAAAAAGATTGCAAATTATTTTTACAATTATAACAGTATTGTGTTATCTAGAAAAAATATACTTTTATATTTTATGCTTGAATAAGAAATATAAAAAGTCATACAAACTATTTTGCCTGTATTCTTTATAGTGTTGATATGATTGAATTGAATGTGAAGATTATATTTCTAAATTTTGTGTAATTCAATATTGGAAAATTGAAGATTGAGAACAAAATTATAAATCGACTTGCTCATATATTTTAATATTTATTTTATGCTTATGTTGAAAAAATAAAAATCTGAAATTTTTTCTGACATTCGGTTTGGTAATTGAATGTATGGTGTACTGCATTCACTGTATCTGTAAGTGCAAAAATCGGTATATACGGTGAGTTGCAAATATGATAGGTAGTATATACGGTAAGCTGCAAATACGGTTAATTGCCTGCATATATGGTAAGATGTAAATACGATAGGCAGCATCTATGGTAAACTACAAATACGGTAGACAACATATACGTTATTGAAATCTATTGTAGTGGACGAAATTGGATTCATTCATACCGTATATGCACTTTACATACCGTATATGCAACATATCGTATTTACGCATACTGTATTTGCAGCTAACCATATATGCAGCATACCGTATTTACAACATACCATATTTACATCATACCGTATTTATAACATACCATATTTGTATCACACCGTATATACAGCATACCGTATTTGCATCATACTGTATTTATAGCATACCATATTTGTATCACACCGTATATATAGCATACCGAATTTACATCTACCGTATTTACAGCATACCGTATTTGCATATATTATTTTTAAATATCTTATTTAACAAATATTGATTTTTGTACATATCATATATGCATTTTACATATCGTATTTGCAACTTACTGTATATGCAGCAAATCGTATTTATAACATTCCCATATTATTTGCATCATACCATATTTACAGTATACCGTATTTGTATCATACCGTATTTACAGCATGTCATATTTGCACATATTGTCTTTAGATACCTTATTTGGCAGATATTGATTTTTGTAATTCAATATTGTTTTCTTTCTTATAATTGTATTTTCGGGAATTTAAAAAAAAAAGATGATTATGAAATTGCTAATTTTTAAATGTATTTTTTTGTTGAAAATAAAAAAGAGTTTTTATGCATTTGTAAAATAATAATAATAATAATAATAATAATAATAATAATAAAATTATTGTAAATTTATTGGCCCTCTTTCACTGAAACTTTTTTATAAGAATCAACCAAAGCTAAATGTCCACATTAACTTTTCTAGTAGCTTTGAAAATTATTGAAGAAATGTAAACTACATTCTTGACTTTCAAATGTCATCCTCTAAAACATTCTGATCTATGTAGATTATTTCCTTATAGTAAAAATTCCACTTTGGCCAAGTATTATTCCGCTGTTCAAAATAATTCACCTACAAATGCATATTATCTTTCATATTGAGAATTTATGTGAATAAATTAGAATTTTAGTGGAAAATTGTTACATATACGAGATTACAATAAAATTAGATTTAGAGCTTGACAAGAGTTTTTGTATCCTGTATATGTTATTTTCTCGTTTAAAGAATTGTTATATATTACTCTCTCTTGAAAGAATCTCAGTCGGCTAGACAGTGAATCGAAACAACTTTGCTGAGAGAGAAAGATTTTCCAATTGGTTCAGTCAGAAAGGGAAGTCAGGTTAGAAGTAAGATCATCAGTGCTAGTACTCTAGTCGAATTTATGATTATTTTTCATGTAACGCAAGATTATTTAATAAGCAATAAGGATTAACATGAATTAGTTAGTAGTAAAATGTGCCTATATTAACAATCAAACATTATCATAAGTCATATAAGGTATAAACACAAAGTAACAAACTTTTAAGAAAAATGTTCCCATTTGCTCCTAAGGTAAGCCTTGTATTTTTGTGTTGTGTAGAGAATTGGGAAATATAGTGTTGGAGTATTAAGAAAAATATGTTTTGTTATTGTATGACATATGGAACACTTGTATTTATGCTTGTTATAAGAAGGGGATCTGTTAGACAAATTTTTGTAAATCACTTTAGAAAACTTCCTACTCAATTTTGAGCAAATTATAAGCATGGAATAATTTTACATAGTAAAGATTATGCTTTTCAGAAAAAAATTTATCTTTCCAGTCATTTTGAGTTATAATTTTGTCTCCTTTTCTTCTCTTTCTTTTTTAATGTTTTCATCTTTTGTTTATTTTCTCCATTTTTAGAGTATGATATTGTATAAATTTAGGTACATTGTACAATCGAGCAATCTTACAAATCCAAGAAATATTTAGTTTGACCAGAAGCAAGATATGAACGAGCTTAAGATACCTTAGTTTGGGAACTTGTTAGTAGAGTTCGCGAGAAATTGTAACAAGACCGTAGAACAAGGTTAGTACTTAGAGTTTGAACAAATAAATAAGTTTCATCAAAGTATCTAAAAGGACGATCAACTTGATTTCTCGATAAGTTTCAGCACAATATTAAAGTTTCACTTGAACAATAAAAATATTAAGGCGTTCGAAAGATAAAATATGAATTGAACAAAAAATTTACAATTTGGTTGAGAGAGAGGAGTTTGAGAGAAAAAGAAATGGGGTTGTAGGAGAAAAGAAAGATAAATGGCGAGATAAATGGCGTAAAGAAGTAAGCAAAAATAGATATTGCGTAAAGAAGTAAGGAAAAATAAATATTGAGTAAAGAAATAGTGAAAAGTAGGGAAAGCAGAGAAGGATAAAAAAGAAAAAAATTACCAATAAAAAAAATTTTTTTCGCACAGTGCGAAGAGTTGGTTTGTCATCTCTCCGTACTGCGTGGAGATTTTTTTTTTACTCCACACTGTGCAAAAAGTTTGTCAACTCTTCGCACATAGTTCAACCCTCTTTCCGCACTGTGCGGAGATGTTTTTTTCTCTCCACACTTTTTTTACTCCGCACATGGTTCAACTCTCTCCGCACTGTGCGGTGAGTTTTTTTTTTTTTTTTTTTTTATATACTTTGCACTATGCGAAGAGTTTGCCAACTCTTCGCACTGTGTGGAGCTATTTTTTAATACTCTGCACATGGTTCAACTCTCTCTGCATAGTGCGGAGATTTTTTTTCTCTCCGCACTTTTTTTTACTACACACATGGTTCAACTCTCTCCACACTGTGTTGAGAGTTTTTTTTTTATTTTTTTATTTTAATATTTAACATCATGCGAAGAGTTTGTCAACTCTCTACACATGATTTGCTATCTCTCCGCACCGTGCGGAGTTTTTTTTTTAACTCATAGCAGTTTATATATATTAAAATTATTATCATTTTTTTAAAACTAATGGCATCATATGTGGAAGAACATTTGTATGACCATAAACAAAATGGAAAATAAAAAAATGACATCATGCACAGTAAAATTGGATTAATTTACTGTTGCATCAACAATAGTCCTACGTTCCCCTTTTTATAAGAAGTTAGATTAGTGGAGATCCTGATTTTATATTCATTGGAGATAGCCCATTAATTGAATACATTTTATTAATCAATTTTGGGTCATTAAAGATAAAAAACTCATTAGTGGTCTACACCCTAATTTTACATTCAGATGAATTATTTCTCCTTCACTCATTTTCAATTACACAACATCCCAGCGTACCGGTACTGCATTTTATGAAGTCGTGTATGATCGGAAAATGAAATTAGTCAGTTACTTAAAAAGTCTAAACTCTTTTTTTTTTTTTTTTTAAAAAGTTTAAATTTTTTTTTTTTTTTTTTTTTTTTTTTTTTTTTTTTTTAACTTTGATTGTTTGTAAAGTTATTTGCGTTATTCACAAATAGAGAAAAATCTAGTAAACATTCATGAAATATTAAACGGTAAATATTGCATGTAGAAGTGGACCGTAAAAAATTTGATAATTCATTCTTTATTGTAGGGTGTGCCTTCAAAACTACTGCAATTAATTTAGTGAATCATTCCTATTACTTATTGAACATTTTTTTTGCATGAAAACGAATACTGATTTGTGTATTTAAATTATGAATATATTTTGTTTGTTAATTATGACTTTTTTGATTTCGATGATTGAAATTTGAACTTCTTAAACGTTTGATAATTATTTTCTTATTTAGGTATACATTACTAATTTATATGATGCAAATTTTAAAATTTTAAAAATGAATTAGAACCAAATATAACCAAACCAAACCAAACCAAAACCGAACGGTTCGGTTCAGTTTGGTTTCATATCTTTAAAAAAATCATTTAGTTCTATTATAAAAAAAATCATTAGTTCATGGTTCGGTTTGGTTCTCTTGGAACCAAAATCATACGGAACCATGTCCACCCCTATGTATAATATTTTATGGATTCATATAACAACTTCCACGTGCTTTGTTTTTGTATTGTGTAATAGATTTTAGTCTTTCTTTAGTTTCCATTTTCTAAAATTTATTTGAATCATGCTACAAGTACGAAATTTTTTGACAGAAAAATCTTACAAACAATGCATGACACGATATCATTAGAAGATGGAAAAAAATAAAATAAACAGTCCACTTACATTTTGCTACATC